TTTTGATACGATGACAGCATATTTTTGACAAGGGTTTTATAGTTGTCCGCTTTTCTATTTCCCAAGAAATTAGTGACCACCAGACGGAAATCATTCCAAGCAGTTTTTTCAATACCTGTTGAAGTGTTTTCGAACTGTGTATCTTTCAAAATATTTCGAATCTGTGCCCAACAAAAATACCTTCTTTAACCTTTGCCTCACTTAGTCTTGTAAATTTCTGACGCAGGTATTGAAAAGCTGACCCATCTCTATCTAATGCCTTGACAAAGTTTTTCATTAGGCCCAACTTGATATGCTGTGGTGGTAATAAAATTTTTTTCGAATCTACTAATGGCATATGCTGTACATTCTTTTTGACCTGGCTCTAGGAATTGACGAACAGGCCAGTTTTGTCTGGTGTAATGAAGTGCCTTTGCCCGACTGTCCGATTCACACAAAAAACAGCAAAACTTTGTGTAGTCTAGCTGCAGCCCAAGTAAAAGTGCAACAACTTTCAAATCGCCACAAATATGCTATATATATTGGTGCTCATCGTATTTTATGCATGTCAATAGGTACTTCATATTGTCATATGATTCTTTCATGTTAACTGCATACCCTACAGGAAGATATGGTAAAATATTTCCAATATGCAATAACACTGCCTTTAAACTCAATGTTGAACTGTCTATAAACAATCTCCATTCTTCTGGGTTATAGTTTATATTTAAAGCCGCCAGTAAGCCGTTAATGTTACTGCAGCAAAACCAAGTTATTCTCCATATTGAAAAATGGTTCTAAGTGTTTGTGTCGTTTACGAAAAACACATACCGAAACATCGTCTTCTAACAAGTTCCACTGCTGCAGTCTTGAACCAAGTAACTCTGCCTTACATTTTGGAAGTTCTAAATCTCTTACAAGATCATTTAATTCTGACTGTGTTATTTTGTGAGGTTGGTGGCATGACGTGCTCGGTATAAAATCAGGATCTCTTGACGTTGATGGCATATCTTCTTCCTGACGAATCACTCAATCGCCATGAGCTGATTCGTTTTCTGATTCGCAAGTGTAGGATTCTGGGGTTTTGGAATAGGATTTTCGTCACTGTGAGGCACAGGTCTCATCGCAGATGGTCTGTTTGGGTAGTTATTAACAGATTTTTTTTTCTTGGACATACCTGTGGCTTGTCCAACACAAGGTACCATGCAAAAGTAACAATCATTAATATGATTTGTAGGCTCTCTCCAAACCATTGGGACAGCAAAGCGCATAGACCGTTTTTTGCCATTTAACCAGCTCCTCAGACTTGAAGCACATGTATTACAGCAGATGTGGGGTGCCCACTGTTTGTCTTGATCACCTAGTTTACAACCGAAATAAAGCTGATATGCCTTTGTTATTAGTGGAATAATAGACCGTCTCTGAGACGCAAAAGTCACATCACCACACACGTAACAAAACTGATCTGGATTGTTTACACACTTTTGGAGACATCTTGCATGAACGCTGTCAGCCAACTGAGGAAAAAATGGCTAATATAAAACAATATAATGTACACGTATGTATAACGTAACACAATCATGCCGATTACATCATCTTTCCTTGCCGAATATAAAAATGTAGCACGTGCATTCTTGTGAATTATAGTATATTAACACTGTCACAGCAGGAACACATATAATTACCGTATCTCTAAAACTTGAACTAATATTGGAAAAATAAGTTTCATTCCGGTTTTGGCACATTAAAAATAGTAATATTTTGTTGATTTTATTTAGGATATTTTTTGGCTGTTGATCAGTGTTATAAGTATTGTGATCTTAAAATGGCGTTTGTTGTTAATAATTCGTCCAAATAGAATCAGCGTGCGGTCAGTCAATTCTTGTGTGCTGGAGGTTTGCAACCATTGCAAATTCACATGCGAATGCATGCAGTGTATGGAAACGCAACTGTCAAGGAATGGTGTCGAAAATGTAATAGTGGAAGATAGGAGATGGATGATAAGCCGCGACCAGGTGCATTGAGTACTGCATCAACAGTCAGGAATGTGGCATGTGTGGCAGGCGTGCTTAGACAAAATCGTCGAACTTCGATCAGAGCAATTTCAGAACATGTTGGTGTAAGTATAGGATCTGTCCATACTATCGTACACAAGTTGGGTTACAGAAAAGTTTGTGCGCAATGGGTTCCTCGCCTTTTGTCAGAGGACCAAAGAAGCTTGCCAATCCAGCATCAGTATATCCATCTAAATTCAAAGCCTGTGAAAAAATATTTCATCGAATGAGGACGACTGAAAAACAATAAAAGAAGGATTCTGATGTTAAAATATTTTAATTGTTCTTTATAGCTAGCTAATGCACACTCCAAAGTCAATTTTACATTTGATAATCTGAAAAATGCGCTCCAGTAAAATAATGTTTGTTGCTTTATTGTGTTCTAATATTTGGCACAGAAAAACGTCATGGTAGTACAAAGTCTCCCACAGGTTCAGCCATAGTAACTATGAGATATCCTTCTTGTTTATATATTAAAGAACTAGGATCTATAAGCAGCTTTGGAAATAACTCTAAGTTGATTGTATTTATGAGAGTTTTGTTTTTAGAACTCTTAGAATATATATATATATATATACATGGTGTTTCAGTTTATTGTTGCATAACTTTAAGATTCGATAGAACTTTTAAAATTAATGCATAAAGTCTATATAAACATGGGTCGAAAAATGCCTGGCTTCCGAAATACTTAAATATTTCGAACAATATTTGATGTATAACAGTGGAAATTGGTATACAACGGTTTTTTTGGTACGACAAAACGAACCATGGGCATAGCTTTACTGTAGCTGCTAGAGGGCGCTCTATACTGTACCTGTAGTGTATTAAAATGACCGAAAATTTTTTCTTGCAATTGCGTTTTGAATAAAAAAACTGATTCTACCCACTTTTCTGCATAAAAAATCTCTCCTGTCAGTTTTCGTTATAGTTAGCCGTTTTTGAGATATTTCGATCTTTAAGGTTCGATGCATTTTTAATTATTTATGGGAAAATAATTTTATTTACATTTTCGATTTGGGCATTACAAGTAATTAAGATGATCGTTTAGATTGTGTTTTTAAACACAGCAATAATTCCTAACTCCAAATAAATACAAAAAAACAGAATATTAATCTGTTTAATTTTCCAATATTATTTTTAACAAATTAAATTCATTATTTACAACTAAAATGCTATTGGATAGTTAGGACAAACATACAAAATCTAAAGTAGTTGCTCGAAATGTAAACCCAATTGTTCAATACACAATTCACATCTACGAATGATCGAACGTGGTATAGCATTATTCAAATAAGGCCTTATTTCATCACATGCATTCCTGATTCTGTCTATTAGCATATCTCTTGTGGTTACGGGAGTCTGGTACACTTTTTCTTTTAGAAATCCCCACACAAAGAAATCTAATGGATTTAGGTCAGGGGATCGTGGAAGCAAGGCGACCGGTCCTCCACGGCCGATCCATCTTTCTGGATAATTTTCATCCAGCCAGTTTCTAACTATTCTCGAATAATGAGCTGGACAACCATCAAGCTGGAACCAGGCCAATCTTCTTAAATCTAACATAACATCATCCCACATATTTGCATGTTCAGCCTTAAAAATTCCAAGAAGGTCGCAGCATTTAACCTTGCAGGTAAAAGGTAGGGTCCAAATAGTGGATTACGGTAGATACCAATCCACACGTTCACACTAAATTCATGCTGAAAATTTCTTTCCCGAACTGCATGCGGATTTTCATGCGACCAAATATGTTGATTATGAAAATTTACCGCGTCTAGTGAAGCATGACTCATCGGTCCATAAAACGTTACTTAAAAACTCCCTATTATCAGTTCTATCAAGAATCCACTGATAAAATGTGATTCTTCGTTCTCCGTCCCCTGGCTGTAGTCCTTGCACAGGTTGCAAATGGTAAGGACGTCTATGGTCATTTCTAAGAACACGGTGAACATGGCTTGCTGAAATTCCCAAGGCACCAGAAACTCTCCTAACACTTGTGGTCGGATCTCTATCAAACTCACGCAGAATCATACGGGTAAATCTGCGCTGACAAACATTTATGTTTTGATCCCTTTGGAGATTACCAAAACCATTTTCAATTATTTGGCGATGCACTCTTACAAATACTGAGCGAGTTGGATGTCGTCTGTTTGGAAATCTTCGTGCGTATTCTCTGGCTGCTTCTGCTGCGTTTCCATTTACAAAGCCATACACAAAATGAATATCCGCTAACTCTTGATTGGAGAATAAAAATGGCATTTTTATAAAACTTACAAAAAAAAAGAAACTAAATTCCGTGCATTCACAATTGCAAAAAAACGTTTCAGGTTTCAACAGACAACAAAACTGACTGTCAACTAATTGACGTTTAACCTTATTCTGCTTTCAATTTCAAAAATATTTGCAGGTACAGCCTACTTCTAAAAATTATCGGGATACTGACTTTTTAACGTTATTTTATCATAAATAATTAAAAATGCATCGAATCTTGAAAATTGAAATATCTCAAAAACGGCTAACTATAACGAAAATTCACAAGAGAGCTTTTTTATGTTGAAAAGTACGAAGAATCAGTCTTTTTATTCAAAAAGCCAAAAATTGCACTAAGAAAAAAATTTTCGGTTATATTAATACACTACAGGTACAGTAGAGAGCGCCCTCTAGCGGCTAGAGTAAAACTATGCCTAAAGTTCGTTTTGTCGTACCAAAAAACCCTTGTATACCAATGTTCACTGTTATACATCAAATATTGTTCGAAATATTTAAAATAAACTATTTTAGAAAGTAAATTGAAACACCCTGTATTTCGGAAGCCACGCATTTTTCGACCCATGTTTATATAGACTTTATGCATTAATTTTAAAAGTTCTATCGAATCTTAAAGTTATGCAACAATAAACTGAAACACCCTGTATATATATATATATATATATATATATATATATATATATATATGTATATGTTAAACTCATATAAATATTGTCTTTTCTATTTCAGTACTTGGTTGTTTTCTACAAGCAGAATTTTGGCATTTGTATCTACGATATTCACCTTTTTCGAACAATCAATTTAGAATTTTTATATAACGTCTACTCGCAACACTTTCTATTACAAATGATAAATAGAGGATAATGGCCCAGCTTTCGTTCGTTGTTCTACCTGAGACCAAGCCAAGACCATGCTGACAAAAATAGTATTATGAAGACCCGCTAGAAATGAAAATATTTCTTCAGTATCAATACACAATATATTATAATGAGACTTCAGCTTTTGTTTTATTGCGAACGCAGTGAATTCGGACCTGTATTTTTATGTATGTTAGTGTAATTTATTATAGATCTGAAAAAGAAAGTATTGCTAAAATGCGTTCATGTAAAAATATCAAGTTAAATAAGGGTGATTTGCGGAGAAAACGGTCGTAATTGCAAGGTCTGTGCTTTCAAAAAACAGTCAAGCACCTACTAAAATAGAAAGAAAAATGTTGACAAAAGTTTGAATTACAAAATTGTTGAACGCAAAAATTCCATAGATGCGATTAACTTGGGAGTTTTTTTAAAGGCCGCTTGTTGATTCAATACCCTCTTGATCATTTTGACAAGAGCAGAGGTGCAAAATATCACTCCGATGAATTTTTAGACATTGGACAGTCACGGAACGTTTCAGTAACGTATCCCTTGTAAAAATGTGGCACTATACCGGTCGTTTCTCACCATTAGGAAGTTGCGTATTTATACAATTGACAAGATGTCGCTTAGAAAGTTTTGAAATCCAAAGTACTTCCGAAGAGAGACGGAAATAGGTAACTGAATTTTCCCAAAATCATTTTAACTTTTTCCCGACCTTATTTGTAGGGATTCCAAGATAAATTACACATTAACAGTGACACTTTTTCTCCTCTACAAGATGGCGTGGTCAAATTTAACTGGATTTTTCAGTCCTAAATTCAGAAAATTGAAAGGACCTAAAAAGGAAAGATGAAACCTAAACACAAAATGAACATTTTATTGATGGTAATAATAATAATCACATATAAGCATAGGTAAATCATGATAGATGCTCAAAATGTTGTCCTCCATTTTGTAGGAAAGGCCTAACTCTTCTCTGTACTTTGTTCAGACCTCGGTTTATTTCCCTCCTTTTCGCTCCTCCAAATTCTCTTACCATGTTCAATTTGTGGTCTTCAAAATTATTATACGCTTCCTGTGCATAACAACAAGCAATTTATTTGGAAATTCCATCTCAAATAATGTCAGGAAAAATAAAAATGTTTTGGCGATAAATCTAGTAGGTGAACCAAATGATGATCTGATAATTCCAAGGCCTATCAAGGATTTTTGGAATCAGGATTGAAAACTCTAATTACCTGTGCCAAATACCAATAAAAAAATAAAGTTGATACCGTCATATTGAAATTCTAATTATACCATCTGGTGGAGGAAAAAAAGTGGCAATGCTAATGTGTGATTTATTTTGAAATGCCGCTACAAATAAGGTCAGAAAAAAATAATACGATTTTGGAAATATTCGGTTATTTCCGTCTCTCTTCGGAAGTACTGCGAATCTCGAAACTTTCTAAGCGGCATTTTGTTAGTTACCTAAATACGCAACTTTGGCCCCGTTTGAGCGACTTTGCATCTCTTACCCTTTGCGAGATCCCGATATTGATAGTCGAATTTGAAACATCTGGTATAAATATGGCCAATACCACCAACAGCTTTTTGTGAGGTGACCTTGTACAACCTGTCGGAATATCACATTGAAAATAGAACTGCCCCAAAATTGCAGTCTAACTGACACTGGCTGCCTGATTCCCGGCTGTGGAATTCTGCAGTATGTTGTTTGACCGGCGACGTTGTTGGTAGCAGTCTTTGTAGTTTTCATTCCCTTTGGAGTCTTCTACTAGCTTATAGTTAGCAAGCTGTTGGTACACCTAAAACAATGGTATTGAATAGGGTTAATATGGTGATTTCAAGAGTGTAATGGACTTGAAACTGTTTACTAACTAGTCTATTAATTACGTGGTGTATTCAGGGAAGGGGTGGTGATTGAGTCCAAGGAGTTAAACCTATATTATTTTATACTGAAGCAGCCGCGGAGGCAGAAGTCTTAACACCAGGGCTTCGACGATAAGCTCAAAGAAACTTTGTTGAACCGATTTTTGAGCCTAGAACTATGAAAATCCTCCTCAGGTAGATGGTTCCACAATGTCGATACCCTACGGACATAGGAGCGGTTGTATCGGCCAGTTTACCGAGACTGCCTGTTAGAGAGGGATAATGTAGGGTAAATGCGGGAGAGTTGCCGCACTTTTTGAAAAATGGCTGTAATTTTCTTGATTTTCAACACTGTTCTTTAAAAATAAATCAATACAAAGGTACTGTATTAAACTTTATTGAGACATAAAAATAAACTTTAATTCTGAAGAAATATAGACAAAGCAAAAAAAAAATTTTTTCTATTAAAATGGGCATCTCTCCCACACTACTGGGAGAGACGCCGCATCAAAAAAGGAGAGATGCCGCAGTATCGGCATCTCTGGAAAACCCCTAATTTTCATTTCTTTTTCTTAAGTCGAATCTAGAACAGATGTTACACACTTCACCATACATGGTACAAGTGACATGTAGCCACTTTAAGCATTTAAGGCATTGCAGCCAATCCACTGTTTTAGTTGTCGTTTCGTAAACTTCAAAGCATTCCACGCAGCGTTCCCGATTTTCATTTTTCTTTTTGGCCAGAGGTTCATCGTCGCTGTCGCTCCATTGATTTTTTTCTGGCTCTTCCTCTAGCTGTTTTTTTTGTACTCTTAGTTTCTTTTTCTTCGCTGTCACATTGGTTGTGTTATGTTTGTCAGGGCGAACCCTCTTCGTTATGTTTTCAGGTGATGTTAACACAGCTGCGCTTTGCTTGAACCTTTGCTTGAAGGATACAGGTACTTTTGGGATAGGAGAAACTTCTTGCAAAAATTTTGAAGGAGTGATTTGTGGACCGTCGCCTTCATCTCCCCTACCACATGCTTGAGCAGAACTAGTAGGGCTGGTGGAGAGTAATCCTAAGCTGGGACGGTTAGCATCTCTTTCTGGGGAAGTATCTGCCATGGCTGAATCAGTTATAGAATAGAAGTGATCCGGAATAGCATTAGGATCAACAGGATATATCCCTGTTGCCTTGAAACCGTTAATGGCTGTGGCCACAGATGCTGATCTTAACCAACTTTTTCCAATTAATGCACCGGCTTGATATCTCGTCAAGTTTCTGCTGGCGTTGTGTTTCATCCATAACTGAGCTTCCTGGTTAAAATAAGTCTTAAAAGGCTTAAAAAAGCTTCGGTCTAGTGGCTGAAGAGCCTGGGTACAGTGGCTTGGTAAACACAAGATAATTATATCGTTATCGTCAGCCACCTGCAGCATATCGCCGTCAGTACTGTGTGAAGTGTGGCCATCCAGGATTAATAAACACTTACCGGATGGCTTATTGGGGATAAACTGCTCCTTTAACCATTTGAGAAATAATTCCGAATTTATGAAAGATGACTTTCTATTCATATAAATTTTGGATCCAGCTGGCAATCCATCCGAAAATTCAGCCTTTAGGTTTACACCTTTGAAAATTAACGTGGGTGGAATGAACCTGCCGTCTGCACTACAGCATGCAACAACCGTTACATTTTCTCCTCGCTCTTTAGATGTTAAAACGTGGACATCTCTTGCACCTTTCGTTGTTAGTACTTTCCCAGGTTTGTTGATCAGTTGAACACCTGTCTCGTCCATATTGAAAATATGAGATGGCTTATCCAATAAATTATTTTCAGTTAGGATATCAATCAAAAGTTGAAAAAATTTGGAAGTTTCTTCTCTATTCATTCCTCGAGCTCTTAATAATGACAGTCCTTCAGCTTGCCTTATTGTCAATTCGGGATTTCTTTCTAAAAATGATGACAGCCAAGAATAACCAGCCATCCCGCTGTTGTGTGAAAATTTGTGTTTCAATTTCAGCTTCTCAGCAAAATTATAAGCCAGCCGTCGAACTGCATTTCTATCAGGAGCAAATCCAGCCGCTGCCAATCGTTGGATGTGAACAATCAACCGTTTTTCATTTTTATGCCCTAGAACACCTTTAAAATAAATTATGCGGTAATGCTGAAGCAAAGTCTAAAAAATCACTTTACCTTCTGGTCCGAGACTCCCTTTCTGAAGATTACCACTGGCCATTCTACGTTTAAGGGTCTTTGGTGGAACATGATAACGCCTATGGGCTTCTCTTTTGGATATCTCACCGGAACTAACTTTATTAATGGCTTCTTGCAATTGTTCTTCGGTCCACAAAGCCCTAGGGCGTGCATTTGCCTTCCTCTGATATTTCCGTGGCATTTTTCTAATCAAAATGTAACTTTAATTTGATAAAATCCATGACAAAACGATAACTTTGAAAAAATAATTTGCGGCATCTCTCCTTCCTTAAAATGCGGCAACTGTCCTTTTTGTTGGGAGAGATGCCGCGCCCGCTTATCAAAATCACGCATTTACAACGCGACAAAATATAACATGGCATGTGTGGACATAACCTCAAAATACTGGAAAAAGCTTACGATTATCAAATAAAACTACCACCGTGCAAAAAACCACACTTTCTAGGATACAGGCTAAAATTTTGCAAAGAAAATTCGATCTTACCTTCCTAAATTCGAGGATAGCATGCAATATTCCAAAAAACAAACACGTTCGACGTCGTAACCGTTCACTAAACGATCGACTTTCATCATGGGTACACTCGGTTGCCTACTCTATGGCATTAGCGTTGAAATACGACAAAAGCGGCGTCTCTCCCGCCGCGGCAACTCTCCCGCATTTACCCTAGTCGGGGCAGCAGGACCCCAAACATGAGAGCAGTACTTGAGGCTAGGTCTTATCTGGGTCTTGAGGAGTCTGAGGAGGTTATGTGAAGAGGTTAAGAAGTCTTAACCCTAAACAAATGCCTAGCGTTTTCCCAGCAGTTGCTGCTATTGACGAGATGTGTTTGTGTCAGATCAAGTTCTCGGTGATTGGACTCCGACCAGCCGAAATGAACTCGGTCATCCACCGAAACCGCTAGGAAGCTACTGTGTGTACATAAAATATGTAGTTAACATTTTTCAATGTTATTAGGCAAACAATTAATTCTGTTAAAAAACCCGAGATCCTGACTGAGTACCCAAAGAAATAAGAAGTGAACTTAAATAAATCAAAATTGCCTTTCAGCTGGCCAGGTAAAAGGCCAACGTTGAGGTGCATGTTTTTTCGCATCGTCTTGACTATAATATATTAACAGCGATCAATTGTTCAGGGTAAGCGGCTTTTTGTGTTCCACAAAAACCTTCACCATTTTCGACAGTTGTCTGGAATACTACGAGTGTATGGAACCTACGCACTTCTACATGTATTCGCAGAAAAATACGAATTTCATGTGAAATGTCAACAACTGTCAAACTGTCGGCTAAAGCCTGATCGACTTGTAGTATCAGCTCCCATTCTAACAACAGACTAAGATTGTGGAGACAAACAAATCATAGACTTGCTCTGAATCCGTTAGTCGAGTCGAATCTCACTCATCGAATATTTCCAATTTGCATACCTGTTTCATTCTTTGTATGTTGATACGACTAACGACTGCATGGTTGACCATCGGCAAAGGATAATCTTTGCCGATGATGCATTTCGTAGCCCGTTGTACATTTTCAGGTGCCAGCCAAGGCTCATGGATATACTCAATTGGCATGTTCTTTAGCACGGGCAGATATCTCCTGAAACAAAACAAAAATATTCACGTCACTCCCGCAACAAGTATTGTTCTGCAAAAACATGAGCACTTTTCTCAAATGCTAAGCCCCTCTTTCAAAATGACTGAAGATCCCTCAAAATATTTCGATCCTATGACATTATAATAGCAAATTTCAAGCAAAAACTATACATGATAATACAAATAATGTTCTTTACCTAATATAATCACCATTGGGATCAGCTTTTCTGCCAAATTTGACAGGACAATAACAGTGGAAAAACTGTTGGAAGAAACTGGAACAAGAGAGCCACATCCACATACCGGCATTTACTGACCAGTCGGCATCCAACAGGAGCTCTTCAAATACCTGAAAAAAAGAAAGAATTTAGATTTCAGTAGACAATAAACCTTGACCCAGCTGAAAATGGAAAATGCCAAGTAGATAAGCCCACTTCAAAATGCTATTGCAAGCAAGTTCAATGGGTGTTTCGCAAAATGGTCCAGTCATATTAAGGGTTTCACCTCGAAATTAGATCTAATAAGCTACAAACTTGTAGAAACCTTTATTTTATCAGTCTAGAGGTGGTTTCAAAAGAAAGTAGAAAGTCTCAAAAAATCTTGTTTTTGCTTTTTAAGATGTTAAAGCTCACACACTGCTATTAGCATATATCACAAATATTGTAGAAAATGACATTCTCTATTTCATACAATCAGCCGTTTTTGAGCTAGACGACTGAAAGCGCACAGTGCTTAGCTATTTACACCATAATGCAAGGCGGACCGTGAGTCTCGATAAGTAATAAGCCGTATTAATTCTATTCATCATTAAAAATTATGTTGTTAGGAAAATAATTAATAAACAGGAATAAGGAGTTTTTTACTAATTACTTCATTATATTTTTGATAACCTCCATCAATGAAATATATCTTTATATAAAAATCTGCAGAGCCCAGATAAAGAATTGTACCACCAACAAACTCACATATGTTATAGAGTGATACATATCTAGGGTATAGCTCTACAAAAAATCATGGAACTACCTACAGGGTGATACTGTAGCTATAAGGGTTGACTGCTCGAAACTGAAAAACCCAAACCAAGAATTGTGCTAATAAAGAAGTCATGTATGTTGTAGGAGCCCGATAGTATTACATATCTACTCTGTAATTCACTGACTTTGGGCAAAGTCATACCCTAGATATGTACTTCTATATAGGGTCTCTACCACTATATCCTGAGATAAACCAGCCCTTGCCATGAATATAATTCCAAGACGCAGTAAATTATAATAATAATAATTAACGTGTTTTATTTGTAATATTCTTACAGGAGGCGAGATTTAGATAATATATCTATTCTACCATATAACCCCCTCAACAATACGAGATGTAAAAATTCATAATTTGTTGAATATTAATACCTGTATAGAAGAACGACAGAATAAAGTATAATCTAAGTAAAGGCATAAGGAAGATATGAGGCCACTTATGGGTTACAACAGATTTCGCTGCTGATCAAGTAGAACTTCTGTCACTTTTTTCTTGAAGTTGGGTAATGAATTGGTTTCTTTTAAACTGCAGTCGAAAGAATTATATGATTTGATCGCATAGTAAATATATATGTATTCTGAAATAGAGATGTGCTGTGGCGTGGAATCGAAAAAGACTCTCTATAATCTAATATTAGCACCATGCAGATTCCCTTTACCTATGAATTTGTTTACTAAATATGACGGTGTTTTTGAATAAAGAACCTTATGAGTCAGATTTAGGAGCTACGTTTTATCAATTTTCATCCATTTGAGTTCATTAATGGCATTCGATATATGTGATCATACTTTCTGAGACCATTTACAAGTCTGCAACATGTATTGATAATACTTTAAATATGATTTCTTGTTATAATACCTAAATAGGGATAGTAAATCACTAGCAATACGATATCTTTGAAAACAAGAAAGATTCACACAATTGCTTTCTTGCAGATTTATGTAATACAGCCTTATTTGGTAATAAAACTCTGAGAATAGCGTAGCACTGAGAAACTAAATAGTTTACGTCTTGATTAGTTTTATTATTTGCTGTTTCCAAGTCATTACTCCTAAATGAATAGAAAATTTGAGTATCGTCTGCAAAAAATTGTATGCTGCATTATTTTACCTCTGTTTCTAAATCTGAGATATATAACGAAAATAATGGGGGTCGTAAGACTGATCCCTGTGGTACAGCAGAACAAATTTTTTGCTCGGTAGTGTACTGTTGATTTAGACGAACTTTTTGATACCGACTTTCAAGGTAGGTTTGAATAAACGAAAGAGGTTTTTCAGAAAATCCATAACAACTACATTTAGACACAAGAAGTGAGTGATTAATGGTGTCAAATGCTTTAGTAAAGTCAAGATCTATGAGAGCTACTGCTTTTTGGTTATCAAGTGCCATTGTTATATTGTCTGTTAAATCACAGAGTGCCGAAGCTGTATTATGACCTAGTCGAAATCCAGATTGTTTAGATGGAATAATTTTATTGGAATATAAGTAGACGATAAGCTGCTCGTAAACAACGTGCTCCAATACGTTAGAAAAAATTGGCAGTAGACTGATCGGTCTCAGTTGACCATAGTTAGTACGATCAGAACACTTAGGTAGCGGAACAACTATAGCGCGTTTCCACTTATTGGGGAAATATCCCCTCTCTAAACAGCAGTTGATTACACATCAATTTCAGGTATACATAGTAGTATCATATGCAAAGTTATTTCATCTGAACCACTAGAATTTGATTTTATTTTATGTATAATTTTAACAACGGTGTCAATAGTGACTTTATTAAATTGAAATTTGGATTTTGAGTTTTTTTTTTAGCTCGGTAATATGCAATTTTATCAGCACAACCCAAATCACTATTCTCGAAAATTGAAATGAATGCCTGATTTGTTTTATACGGATCTGATGAGCTCACGGGAATTGTAGAATCTTTCTGAGATTGCGCGTTTTATAAAACTTTTTTATATCCTGATTTTGAACAGCTTGTAAATAATCTCTTTTTCCTCTCCGCACGAGCGTTAATACACGATTTCTGAAGTATGTATACTGTTGCCAAGAGGTGGCTATACGATCACGTTTGAACTTTGACAAAGCTTTAACTCTCTGCTTGAATACAAGTTTAATATTATCATCCAACCGAGGAGTTAGAGCTTTGTTTACACGCACTACCTTTTTGGACAGTGAACATTAAATAAACATAAAATACTATCTGTTAAAAAGTCAATTTTATCTTCAATGTCATATATCAATATAATATGCCACCATGGAAAACTCTTGAGATCTTGTTCAAACTCTGTTTAATTTAAACTATGGAAATCCCTGAATGTCATAAATTTCTGTTGATTTTTAGGACGTGCAACACGTATATCACAGAAGGTTAAATAGTGATCAGTAATCATATCAGCATTAATAGTGCCACTCCTAAGACAACTTTCAGTCTTGCTCAAATAAATAGGATCTAAGACAGTGAGTGACGATTCAGTTATCCTAGTCGGTTCAGATATCACCTGTTTCAGATTATAAGAATCAAGGCATTTAGTCAAGTTGTTTCAAACTAAAAGCAAATTAACATTAATATGCCCTGCAAGGATGATATAATATTCAGCTAATATGGCAGGCAACATGTCATCAAAGGTATTACCGGCTTCTGTAACAGAGCTATGAGGGGGCGGATAGAATATACCAATAGCAATTTTTTTATTTGGAAGCTGCACCTTCAACCATATATATTCAAGACTTGGGCCTTGCCCAAATGAAATTATGGAAGAGTTGTAGTGGTTGTTTACAAAGACTGCAACCCCACCGCCTCGCCCATCTCTATCACAGCGATAACAGTATCCATTCATTCTTATATGGCCATTAGATATATCTTTTGATAGCCACGTTTCCGATATTCCAACAATATCAAGGTTGTTGTTTTGAACCAGAGTACTAAATTCATGAAATCCTGATCTGCAGTATATATGTTATGACCAAATCTTAAAACCTTGAATTTATCACTATTCATATTCAATTTTAGATTTCAATTATGTTTTTATAGGTTGGACAATCTAAGTCTTTAGAAGAATGACTAGTATCAAGTTGAGTGTTGAATTTATAATTCTGATTCATACAGTTTGAACAGTTCTTAAAAGCCGATTTACAATTTTTTTCTAAATGTTCTCCAGCACATGATACTTTAGAATGTTTGCAATTTTTTCCATGTGGCCAAAACCTGAACATTCATTGCAGCGTATAATTCGTACATAATCCCACACAGGACATCTTTGCCAACCCATGTATTATGTAATAAAAATGCGCTGGAAAGCAGACTTACCTTCATACCGTCTTCCCATGAGATGAACAAGTCTCCCCTAGTGAGAAAGCAGGCCACCGCATGTCTGGCAAGATGATGGATCCAGCCCTCTTGTCTCAATTGTGTCATTACGGCGTCTATCCAAGGAAATCCAGTTTGGCCCTAAACACAAAATGCTCTAATAACAGGAAATACTTTTACTGTTTTAAATGACACTGAACAGTTAAGGATTTCCAGGCCTCAATACCATATTATGTTCTTTGAAAACTAGGCGCTGGATGGAATTGAGTTTACAAAACGTCATATCAACACTGATAAAAGGTCAAAGACAAATGATCCTGATCTTGCCGAATCACTTTCTGGACAATTCTTTTATTCCCCTCCCCTCTTAAGTAATTACAAACAATCCAAAACAAAAGATACATTATTATTACTTGTATCTTTTTCTTTAGACTACAAGTTTTAGTACTCACATTGGCCCATTTGGCTAGCGCTTCTGGATTCCGGTCCCACGGTATCTGCACACAAATTGGGTTCCCCACCATTTTGTCGAAATTTGGATTCTTCGTTGCGGCACAGTAGAAAAATTCCCTCCACAGCAGCTGTCCGTGCAACGATAGCGGCGGGAAAGCCTTCTTGATTTTTTTGTACAGATCTGTCAGCTGATAGTAGAAGAGTCTGTCGGTCAAACAATGAAAAAACGCGATACTGTATTCTGTAGCTAGGGCCAAAATCCAAAAAGGATAATGATCCAGCTACATCTCTTGTAAAACATTCATGTTGTTCACCTTTTGTGATAATAATAATAATATAACAATATTTATTCGCCAAAATACAAAAAATGGGCAAACAAATATGAAAAAACACAGAAGGCCTGTGTGTGGATTATATCTTCATAACTAACAATCAATCAAATGTGTATAACAATTATTATTGTTAATTCTAAAAAGTATTAATATATTTGGAATTTGGTAGTTTTAGTTTTCTATATAATTATGTGTAGTCATTCGCTGCACAGTACAAACCCAGTCTTTCAATTTTCGTCTAAATTTTTTTTCCAAAATTAAGTATTTTTTATTTCGTTTAGTACTACATTACATAATTTAGCTGCTAAGGATTTAAATGATTTTTTGAATAATGTTTTGTGTGGTCTTTGGATATTAGATGAGCCTATTCGTGTGTCGTGTGTTATGCTCGTGTTTATAGGATTTTTTTTTCATTACAATACTTATGGTATAAGGTGGTGGTATGTAAGAAATAAAGCATTTTGGGTTTATAGGCAACATTTCTAATTTTTTTGATAACATATTTAATATGGTTATCCAACCTTAAGTGTGAGTCCATAAATATTCCAAGATATTTCAAAGTGTTAGCTCTATCGATTTTTGTTTTTTGGCCATGATAATTAACAGAAATTTGTTCGAAGGTAGGTAAAAATTTTGAATAGGATGTAAATACAATAAATTTTGTTTTTTTAGAAGTTAAAATTTTAGTATCAAACCAGTCAATGATCCTTATAAAATCCTTTTCAGCTATTTTCTTCAGTGTGCTCCAGTCATCAGCTTTATATAATATGAGGGTGACGTCTGCAAAACATATAATCTTTCCAGTACTGTTAATTTTGAATAAGTCATTTAAGTAGAGACTAAATAATAGTGGGCCTAGTACTGTTCCTTGGGGCACACCACACTTGATGTACATTTTTTTACTGTGTTAGAGACTTTGACAGTCTATGCCCGACCTGAAAGGTAATTTTTTAAAAGGGTTTAAAATTAAAAACTGTGTATTTAACAGTCCAGATAGTGAGATAGTTCTGGTTAGCAGAATATTTCCACTATTTTTATAACTCTTGGTTAAAAAGGTACCCCTTGTCAGATAGTTAATTAAATTATTTGATTGGCCTAATTAAGCTTTCGATTGGTTTAATTAAATGTCTTTCTCAGTGCGCTACGTCGACGAATTTTTTCAGACACGCTTTGAGGTTGGCGGATCCCATCTGCCGCCTCACGCTTAAATCCCAGATACTTTACTGTTTGTTATACTCCTTTATTTACTTGGTATCAATTTGCCGATTTGCTTTAAAATGTTATATCATTGTGGACATACCTGGTGGATAAACATCCGAACCTGAGATAGGGTGACAGTCCCGTTTGCGAGGGCAGCAATGACTGGGGGGTCATTTTGGGGCGGCCGAACGAAGCCACCCACGCCTTGCGCTCCAAATGCCGCTCCAAGCGGGCCAAAGATTCGCTCTCACCACCTTGCCAAACAGGGGGACTCAGGCCTGAAATTGTGTAAGATAACAGGAATGTTAGCAATTAGAAACATCCTGTTGGTGCATGTATGTTCGAGCGCTAACACCCCGCAGAAAAAGAAAAATGTGTAACAATGAAAAAGTAGGGACTACTAAACATGATGCTTTCGTTAGTCTGACCAAAAAGACAGCCGACCATGGACAACTGTTTCGTGCTTCTTGGCTACTCATCTGCATGATCTAGGTTTGGTCTCTTATCTCTGGACGAACAGACGAAAGCGTCGCAACTGTCCTCTATACCGGAGGTACGGTTTTTGGTTGGACAGATGAAAGCATCATGTTTAGTTTATTCAATGGCCAGTAGAGCGCATTTACCAGAATCGTCAGCCATCTAGCGGTCACGTGATGATTGAGCCATTAAGCGCCAGTTGCGATCCCCAACAGTTCCAACTGATATTCTCTCCTTTGTGACCTCAACTGACGTGGATCAAAATAAATTGCTCGTTAGCACTGCCACATTTTGTCCTCTGCAAGGTGGCATAATAAAAATTTCAATACTTCTCTTGTCCTTAATCATCAACTTTTTTTTTCTTGTGGGCGTCAAGATGAATTTTGAAATAGGTGAATTGAGTTTGCAATTCTGATTCCAAAAATGTATAATGTCATACATTAATATTGTACAACCAGGACAATTTGAAAAGCAGGAAGTATTTCCTAAATAGGCACTAACAGCATTATCAGATAGTCATTTGAATCCTCATACCGTCAGTTAAGAATTCCTTCATATTTACTTCCTACGCCACTGGATGAAACATTTCAAAAATAAGATATTATCTGCTGTCTTGATTCGGGTCTAAAGGCCGTCGTCGGTTGGAATTTCTTCCTAACGTTTCGCTAGCACGAGTGGCAAGCTTCTTCAGAGGTCCCTCCATTTGATTCGATTCTATCAATCATGAATTGCTTCTTGCTAAGCTCCATTATCTTGGATTTTCTGATAGTACTGTTACGTGGTTTAGGAGTTACTTGCATGAGCGGTCACAGCTAGTCAATGTAGGCGGCTGTGTGTCCGATAAGCGTGCGATTTTGAAGGGGGTACCGCAGGGCTCCATACTTGGCCCAATTTTGTTTACTTTGTATACGTTCGATCTAAGTCGTGACATTAAATATTGTTCTATTCAGTCTTACGCTGACGATACCCAACTGTATTTGTCTTACCGTCCTTCCGATTTCCTGGAGGCAAACAGGATAATGTCTTGTGATCTAGATCGTGTTGCAAAGTGGTATAACGATCACGGGTTACTTATCAATTCAAACAAATCTGCGGTCATAACTATTAAGTCCATACAAAGTAATTTCGATAGTAACTTGATAGAATTACACCTGGAAGGTACAGACTTGCCTCATCTAAAATCCGTGAAAAATTTAGGAGTAATAGTGGATGAACATCTCACGTTTCACGATCACGTTTCCAGGGTTGTGCAAAATTCATATGCTAAGCTCAAGACAATTTACAGTTATAAACATGTATTATCTAGTCAAACCAAGATCAAGCTTTGTAACTCTTTGATTCTCAGCAAAGTCGAATACGCTGATGCGGTGTATGGTCCATGTCTGACACAGTCGGAAGCTTATAGGATACAAAAAGTGCAAAATAGTTGTATCAGGTATGCATTAGGTGTTCCGAGAAGGGAACACATTACTAGATACATTAAGGATGTCAACTGGCTCACGATGCGTCAGAGATGGATTGTACACTTGTTGTTCATAGTACAGACAGTCTTATTAACCAAATATCCAGCATATCTGAGCAGCAAACTTTCATTCAGAAGTCAGCATCACTCGGCGAACTTACGCTTTGTAGGTTATACCCTCGATATGCCCCCCCATAAATCAACACAATTCACAAAGTGCTTCTCATACATAGCACCTTTCCTTTATAATTGTCTACCATCAGATCTGAAAAGTTTGAGTAACAATAATTTTTAAGTTAATATAAAGAAATTTGTTCTCGATAATACCTAATTTTATACTAAGCTTTCATCTTGTAACTGCTGTGATTCTACATTTAATGTTAATGTTAATCTTATGTAGCCCTGGTTGGTACCAATCGCAGCTATTAGCTGCTTCAAATTTTCTTATTATCTTTTGTGTATTTTTCTTTGTATTTTCATGTACCTGATTTTAGCCCTGGTTGGTTCTGTAAAACAGCTTTTGCTGATGTAATCCGCCAGGTAAAATAAAGGCCATTTATTATTATTATTTATTATTTCCGATGCTGAATGTAGACTGAGTCTAGGACCTCTGAAGAAGCTTGCCACTCGTGCTAGCGAAACGTTAGGAAGAAATTCCAACCGACGACGGCCTTTACGAGGGATGTCTTTGGTAACATGGTAGGCCGCGCGGATTGAACGTCAGTACTGAATCTTAACTTGAATTCAAAGTTTCACAACAATACGTGCAGTATTCTCACTACAGTGAATTTTTAAGTGTCACCAAGTCATTAGAAAAATAGGACTCAACCGAGAACATTTTCGCGCCATAATTTATTACAACTTTCAGAGACAATTATCGCAACAAGAATGCCTTGCTGAGTTACTGTCTGTTTTCACAACGAAGCGCCACATCAGTCGACAATTTCTCGTTGGTATGGAGAATTTAAACCTGGACGGGTGAGTCTTAGCGACGATTCCAGGGTGGGTGCACCAAAAACGGCAGGCTCCCAGGAAAAAGTCGATGCTGTGCGCAAACCCTTCATTGAAGATAGACATGTGACATATCGCATGATTGAGGCGTCCTTGAAGATCTCAAAGAGTTCAATTCAAAAAATTTTACATGAAGAATTAGTAGTAAGAAAATTAGTTTCTCGTTGGATACCCCACCTGTTGACTGAAGAGCAGAAAGCAGCCAGGGTTAATTGGTGTCAAAAAACGCTTGACCGTTTCAATTCCGGAAACTCAAAAAATGTGTACAAAAGTGATCCGTTCTCTAAGTGTTTCGAAAAAGATGGTCGCGACATTTGTATCCAAAGGGGGTCATATTGCAACAATTCCTCTTAATGAGCAAAGAACTGTTACTGCGGATTGGTATACCACCATTTGTTTGCCAAAAGTCATCACCGAGCTTCGAAGAATCAACCACGAAAGAAGAATCATCCTCCACCAAGACAATGCAAGCTCGCACACAGCCCAAAAAAGGCAGTGTTTAACGGAAGATTGTAATTATTCTACCATCCTCCATATATTCCCGACCTAAGTCCTAGCGATTTCTTTACTTTCCCGACAATTAAAAGCAGACTGCGTGGTCAAAGCTTCCAGTCACCAGAAGAAGCAGTTGACGCATACAAAAATGCCCTTTTGGATCTGCCAGCAAACGAGTGGAATAAGTGCTTCGAAAATTGGTTCGAGAGAATGCAGATGCGTATTAATCTTCGTGTAGAATACTTCGAAAAACAATAAAGTCATTTAAAACTACCTACCGTGTTGTTTTATTTCCATATGCAAAACTTAAAAGACATCCCTCGTAGACCCGAATCAAGACAGCAGTTTATCAACTGGCCGCGAAAGCCTTAACCAATTTATAAGATATGTTTATGTAAGTAATTTCTGTCGGTCTGTGTGTCTGTCTGGTAATCCTTGGCCCATGTATAACTTGGAAAGTTTGTAGTTTTCATATTTGAAGGAAATTACCACCCAAGGAACTAGTTTACCAAGGACAAAAAAGGACAAAGAAGCATTGTATTGTATAGAAAAATCGGTCCAGTGGCGGCTAAGAAAAATGCCAAAAAAATCTTCGTCTTTTGACATTTCTTATAATCCAGATCATTTTCTAAAATCTTTTTAAGGGTGAAAAATTGGAGAATTAGGGGTTACGGGGGGGTGTGTGAGCATGTAACGCAATTAGTATCTTACAGCTCTTCCAACTTTACTGTTAAAGCATCAAATATCTAAAAAAGTGAACTTCTCATAGTTGGAATGGTATTAACGAAATCACCGGAAAGGATATTACTTTATGAAATTAGGCGAAATATTTAAGAGCAAGTAGAAGCTTTGACGATGCTGCATGCCGCCTACCACAACTCATATCCGTCTTATCTAAACCGATACATCATCTTTGTATGCTTCTTGTAGAGCAAGGTTTAAACTTTAATTAAAATACTTGGAAACCTCAATCATTATAATTTTTAAGCGAGTTTTAAGCTCTGAATATACCCCTTTTTGGAATTTTTTCAGTTGTTACTCGAAAAACATTTAGAACAAAATTTACGAAAAATGTGGGGAATATGTTTGTCAACTACAATCGATCAATTAACGACTCCCTCGATATCCAACCATCATTTTTGAGGAGGTGCTGCAATATCAGACTAAGAAAACCTCGCATTCGCGAAATAATTTTTCCACCTCGATTTTTTTTTTCATAATCACGTTTGTTGAACATGGCTTAACATGAAACAATCGATCAAACTTGTTTTTTACATCTTCTCAAATAAATGTTTTTGGTGGATTCATCTTAGCAGTGCAAATGATGTTGGCTTTTGTTCAAATTTTATAAAGACACTTCAATTAATAAGCTCAACCTTGAAAATCATTTAATAAACAACCTAAGAGATAGGAAAAATGAGCCCCGGCGGGATCCGAACTTGCATCTTCTCCATTCCGTGGAACCAACCTAACCATTTGCTCTACAGCATCAGATGACAACCAACTTTCAGGGTCGACTGGTAGAGCCAAATTCGATCCTACCCACCACTATTTCTTTATTCTTTCAAGCTGCTTGATGCCCCGTCTGGCGGCGCTCAAGTGAAACAAATCTGATTGTTCAGGTATCGCTGATTGCTTTCTAGCTGCACCACGCCATCTCTTGGGCACACACTCTGGTACCACCGATCTTTTGGATGAGCGCTTCCGCAACAGCGAGTTTGTTTAGTAAGCAACAACTTGAGAGATGAGAAAAATGGGAGCTGACCTAACCAACTAGTCTACTCGTACAGCATCAGCTGCCAACCAACTTTCAGGATCGATGAATAATTTTTTTTTTCACCTTCTTCAGGTATTTTGGATCATTCTGATCAAAAGAGGCCTCGAGTAACTATTCTCTAAGGTTGACCGTTTTCGAGTTATAAGCGATTTGATGTCTGAAAAAGATGGGTATATTCAATGCTTGAAAACTCGGTTTAAAATTTTAATTTTTGAGGTCGCCAAATCCTAATTTAAGTTAAGCTTATTTATTAAGCCAAAATTGGCGAACTATTGATTGACGTTTAAGCATGCTTCTCAAAAACTAAGGCAATATAGGACTGAAAAAGTAATCTAACAAACATCGTCAAGGCCAACTATGAGAACATTAGTTTTCTGAAATTGATAACTGTAGCTTTGCAATATCAATGGAATATTACAGGCTTTTCGAATTAGAATTTAAAACGTTATTATACTAAGTGACATATAAATCCGAACACCCAGTTTAAATGGTTTTATTTTAATAAAAGTTGGTGAATGTATTTATCTTACTGTAAATAACAAGTGAAACAATTTTCAACCTTATCATTTGGACATTCCGGTTTTTATACTGCTTTTTTTTAATTCGCTAACGCTCTAAAAATGAATATTTCAGCCACAGTAAAGAATCAACGTTGGCGGATTTTGTTTCTTGACATCCTTTATGATCGGTTACGATGCCTAGAGTACGGAGACCTGTACGATTTCGTCAAATTAGTGAGTTTGATAGGGGCCGTATAGTGGGACTTCGGGAAGCTGGACTTTCTTTTCGGGCATTTGCAGTTAGAGTGCAAAGAAGTGTAGACACTGTGGTTAGGTGCTGTCAGGCATGGCTTCGAGAAGGCCGTACGCAAAGAGCAAGGGGCACTGGACGCCGCCGTAGAACAACAGACCGTGAAGATCGCCGCCTAAGGTTATTGGCCTTAAGGGACCGTTTCTCCACTACCAGGTCCATTGCAAATGAATGGTTTGCAGAACACGGAATACCTATTGGCATGCGAAGTGTTTACCGACGAATGAGAAGTTTTGGCTTGTTTTCATACCGGCCACACTGGGTCCTCGCTTTAACTCGAGAACACCGACATAATCGCCTTGAGTGGTGCAGACAACGGTCACTCTGGGATCAGGAATGGAGCAGTATTGTCTTTAGTGACGAGTCTCGATTTTGTTTAGGCATGCACGATGGTCGTGCCAGGGTTAGAAGGCGACGTGGTGAAAGGAGGAAACCACAGTTTTTTGTTGAAAGACATGTTCATCACACTGTTGGAGTTATGGTTTGGGGTGATATAGCTTATGGTTCCAGGTCACCTTTAATCTTCATCAGAGGTAACATGAACGCGCAGCGTTATATCCACGAAGTTCTGGAACCCCATCTTTTACCCTATCTTGACACCCAGGCAGATCCAACTTTCCAACAAGATAATGCCCGACCACATGTTGCAAGAGTCACAATAGACTTCTTTCAACATAATGATGTCACATTGTTACCATGGCCACCAAGATCTCCCGACTTATCCCCAATTGAGCACGTGTGGGATATGATGGGTAGGAGATTGCTCAATTTGCAACGTCCTCCTCAGACACTAGAAGCACTTCGAGAGGAGTTGGTGGTTGTCTGGAATGGGATACCACAGGAGGACATTGACCACCTGATCAGAAGCATGCCTAGGCGCGTTGGAGAATGCGTAGCGTATCAGGGTGCATCCACACATTATTAAAGGTCAAAGGGCTTTAAAGCAGTGCAATCATTTTGAAGTTTTTATCATTTACTTATTATGCTTCATTAAGTACTTATACAAAATTGTATTAACATTAAACCATTTAAACTGGGTGTTCGGATTTATATGTCACTTAGTATATTATTCCACTTCACGCCAAGGTCTCAATGGTGAGGTTCGAATTATTGCAAACATCCTTTATGTTAGGAGTTACTTATTTTTGCATCGTGACTACATAGGATTTTGAGTAGCAGTATTGAAGCAAAAGAAACAGCACTAAAAATGGACTGGCAAAGCTCGGGAGTTATCTAGTTATTTTTAAAGCATACACGTATAAAGATTTAGGATTCATGTAGAAATGTGTTTACTCAAATTTGACTTTCAAGCTCCTTTCTCCAAAAATGAGATGGTGCAAAGCGCCATCTATCACCAGAATCGACTACTGCGGAGAGCTGCTATTTGTTGGAACTATTAAGATCTCCGTTCACGTTTGATAGCCCAGTTAACATGTGACCGCTGGATGGCTGATGATTCTGGCTATACAGGGTTGAGTCATTTATTTTAACAGTGAGTAGATCTGATCAAAAGAAATGTTTTTTCCTTTAACATTTTTCTGGTAAAATTAAAGTAACAAAGTTATAGCCCTTTAGAAGTTTGAGTACCGCCCCGTCTCAATAATAATATTATGTGCTCGTGTTTGGCAACAACGGATATAATCCGCCTTATCGGTTCATCGCATCGGAAACAAAAAAGCGAAAGAATTTGAAACGTTTATCACGATGTTTTTCGTCAGTCGGTAACGCGTGAGTGAATAGTGGTGTTTGTTGCGTGGCTCAAACGAAATAAAAAATGGCACATGTTTACGAAAATGCTGAACTTGTGGACATGATTCTTATTTACGGGGGGGGGTCTTTACAAAATGCTGCCGCGGCATCACAGATTTGTGCGAATCGGTTTCCCAATCGAGTGCAACCAACCCTTCGTGCCTTTGTTAATGTAGTACAAAGGGCTCGTGAATCAGGTGACTTAAGACCTCACAGGGGAGGGCATGCCGGTGCTCCAAGACCGCACGATCAAATACAGGTCCGCACTGAAATACTTGTCGGGAGGATACTTTATAAAACAAGGTAACATTTTTTTTAATTTTTTTTTTATTTTTACACACATATTTTGGTTTATCTTCCTTCTACAATCATTATCTGAAAATTAATGACTCAACTTCAAAGTCACCCTGTATATTAGATGTGGTCTACTTGCCAATGGTTAAATTGAACATGATAATGATGATGCTCTCTGTTTCATAAATTTTTACACTACTCATGGCATGAAGCATACCATAACAGCTCCATAAATGAGTTGCTAAAGCTGAGTATCATCCCAAAGTTAAAAAGTAGAAGGGATCTTGGATTATCGTGACTTTCTCCTGCTAGTCTATGATAGTCACGAATTTGTCATGATCTTGATGTTTTAGTCGATTTGGATCGCTACTGGTAAAAATAACAAGATAGAACCAAAAAAAAAAGGAAAGAAGAGGAAACATAGTGGGTTGTGAAAAAGCTACAATACGTGTAATTACCAAAAACGCCTTCAAAACTTCTCAAAATGAAGTCAGATTTCTTGGGTCCTGAAATAAAAGAAAATTTATTCAAATATCTTTCATCAAATCCCGTAGTAGAGTACCGCATTTTGAGCAATGATGAGTAATATGGATCTTATCAGTCCATTTTTTGGTCCATTTTTTGCCATTGCCCCTTTGCTCAGCTACTGATTGAATTGACAAGTTTTGGCCTGGGACGAGATTTGAATCATTCGCTCCTGTCATTCCAAACAACGCTTAAAAAACGTCAAGTTGAAGCATTTCTCTCAAAAAAATTCGAAATTGAGATATTGTTTACCTGTCTATAACTTGGAAGGTACCGCTCGAATTTGATGAAAATTTTACACAAGGTTACTACCATGCCAAGGACAAAAAAGCTCTGTAGTTTTTGTTAATCGGTCCAGTGGCAACGGAGTGGGGGGGCATAAAACGAAAAAAATAAAAGTCGCTCAAGCATCGTTTTATAACGTTTCAGCGGGTTCTGATCATTATTGGAATTTTTTTGCAGGGGTTGAAAATTGTGATTGGGGGTTGTAGGGGCTGTGGATTGTAAACGTTACATCTATTAGTCAAAGACGTTCGATCATTAAGCTTCTGATACCGGTAACAACGGGAAAATTAAAAAAGTTCTGCATAATGCGCTCATAATTCGAAATGCACGGCGCGATGCTGCGACGCTGCATCGTCGTGGAGGCCACTGCCGACTGCGCAATGGATAACAATCTCCAACTGGTAAACTTGCGGCGGTGTCGGCACTGACACACCACTATAGGAGAATATTTATATATACTAAGTGACATATAAATCCGAACACCCAGTTTAAATGGTTTTATTTTAATAAAATTTTTTATTAATACTTAATGAAGCATAATAAGTAAATGATAAAAATTTCAAAATGATTGCACTGCTTTAAAGCCCTTTGACCTTTAATACTGTGTGGATGCACCCTGATGTGTTACGCATTCTCCAACGCGCCTAGGCATGCTTCTGATCAGGTGGTCAATGTCCTCCTGTGGTATCTCATTCCAGGCAACCACCAACTCCTCTCGAAGTGCTTCTAGAGTCTGAGGAGGACATAGCAAATTGAGCAATCTCCTACCCATTATATCCCACACGTGCTCAATTGGGGATAAGTCGGGAGATCTTGGTGGCCATGGTAACAATGTGACATCATGTTGAAAGAAGTCTATTGTGACTCTTGCAACATGTGGTCGGGCATTATCTTGTTGGAAAGTTGGATCTGCCAGGGTCTCAAGATAGGGTAAAAGATGGGGTTCTAGAACTTCGTGGATATAACGCTGCGCGTTCATGTTACCTCTGATGAAGATTAGAGGTGACCTGGAACCATATGCTATAGCACCCCAAACCATACCTCCAACAGTGTGATGAACATGTCTCTCAACAAAAAACTGTGGATTCCTCCTTTCACCACGTCGCCTTCTAACCCTGGCACGACCATCGTGCATGCCTAAACAAAATCGAGACTCGTCACTAAAGACAATACTGTTCCATTCTTGATCCCAGAGTGACCGTTGTCTGCACCACTCAAGGCGATTACGTCGGTGTTCTCGAGTTAAAGGGAGGACCCAGTGTGGCCGGTATGAAAACAAGCCAAAACTTCTCATTCGTCGGTAAACACTTCGCATGCCAATAGGTCTTCCGTGTTCTGCAAACCATTCATTTGCAATGGACCTGGTAGTGGAGAAACGGTCCCTTAAGGCCAATAATCTTAGGCGGCGATCTTCACGGTCTGTTGTTCTACGGCGGCGTCCAGTGCCCTTGCTCTTTGAGTACGGCCTTCTCGAAGCCATGCCTGACAACACCTAACCACAGTGTCTACACTTCTTTGCACTCTAACTGCAATTGCCCGAAAAGAAAGTCCAGCTTCCCGAAGTCCCACTATACGGCCGCTATCAAACTCACTAAGTTAACGAAATCGTACAGGTCTCCGTACTCTAGGCATCGTAACCGATCGTAAAGGATGTCAAGAACCAAAATCCGCCAACGTTGATTCTTTACTGCGGCTGAAATATTCATTTTTAGAGCGTTAGTGAATTAAAAAAAAAGCAGTATAAAAACCGGAATGTCCAACTGATAAGGCTGAAAATTTTGTTCACTTGTTATTTACAGTAAGATGAACACACTCACCAACTTTTATTAAAATAAAACCATTTAAACTGGGCGTTCGGATTTATATGTCACTTAGTATATTTATATATTTTAGGAATATTTGGATATTAGAGTACGTACCACTGTAGCGTACTGTGATGACACAACTGTATTTATATCTATACATCTTATTCTCACTTTTATGAATTTTGCCGACATAAATGAGAAACACGGACATGAGTGATGCAGATATCCTTAAGCAACAAAAAAGCTGTGTACCGAAGTTCGAATATTAACGCGAATTTAATACTTCCATTGATTTTTTAATTTGAATCGCTGGAACATAGTATTACAACGTTTCAGATTCCTGCTCATTTGCAGACATTGTTTGGAGGGGTTGAAAATTGTAGACTGGAAGCTGTGTGCGGTAGATGGTTTTAAATTGTTGCATATTTGGTGTCAGTAAAAGACCTTTTATTATCAAGAAGCTGCTGATATCAGTGATACTATGCACCTGCTAGACATAATAAGTCACACATATTTTCCCTAAAACTGCATTGGAAACAGAAATATGATAGTTTTGCTTTATGTAGCTCCATATGTAGATGTCGAAGTTAACCTACCCAATCACGATTTCGTCTTTTGAAACGATTTGATCATCCCTTTTCTATAGACTCAGACTACTTGTCGCTTTTTTTTAAGTAACCCATATATAATAATAATAATAATAATTATGTTTATTGGAGTATTAATACATAATAGAATCAAAATACGAGCAAATAATATAAGACAAAAAAAATAATACTCCAAAGGGCTGGGGATTGGCATAGCCATTTTTCACCCCCGCCTGAATATATATATATATATACTAAGGTATATCATATACATTACATAAAATGCTAACAAAACTTTAAAATATAATAAGATTAATAATGAGATTTATTCAGCCACTTGTGGATTCATTAAATTGTAACTGTAATAGCATTCTTTTGAATTCTCTTTTGAAGCTGTGAATGGACGTTAATTTAAAGAAACTTGGGTAATCACTTAGTATACTGGGAGCTATGTAATAGAAACATTTTTTAAATTTTGAGGTAGTGTGGGCTGGTATATTATAACAATATTCATTACGGAGGAGCAGTTGATGGAGTGAAGATCTTTTCTCTAATGTGTCAAAAAGATATTTCGGAGATTTATATTTTAAAACCCTAAATAGTAGAACAGCATAGAGAAGTAACGACCGATATTTGAACTTTAAAAGATTTTCCCTTACATAATACCCAGTAATGTGTTCGCGTCTGTTTATCTCATTGAAACAAAACCTCATACAATGGTTTTGTAAAACTTGAATTTTCTGTTGCATTTCCTCAGTAATAAAAGGGTAATATACAGTACTACAATAATCTAAATGTGTGAGGATTAATGCATTAACAAGTTTTAGTTTGATATCACTTGTTAATATATACTTATATCTCCATAGCGATTTGTATTTATAATAACATATTCTGAGCTTATTTATAATGTGACTTTCAAAACTTAAATTCTTATCAAGTACTATTCCCAAATTTTTTGTTTCTTCAACAAATTCAATGTTAATTCCTTCTAAAAATATGTTCGTATTTATTACTTGTTTACACTTCAGAATCGCTAGTCTAGAACCAACACAACATACTTTGGTTTTCAATGGATTGAGCTTCAAACAATGATTTTTTGAGTACTGTTCAATTATGTCTAAATTTTTATTAAGTTCTAATATTAAAGAATTTACATGGGTTGGTTGACATGGTTTGTAAACTTGTACATCATCCGCATACAAATGTACATTCCAGTCAGATGATATATGTTTTATCAGATCTGAGGTATAAATAGTAAATAAAATAGGACCTAAAACGCTGCCTTGTGGAACACCAGACTTCAAAGCTCGTAAAGTAGACACTTTACCACGCAATTTTACACATTGAGATCTATTAAACAAGTAATTACTAAACCACAGCATGGCATTTCCGGTCAAACCATAATGGTGCAGTTTTTCACACAAAACTCTGTGATTTACCATGTCAAATGCCTTGCTGAAGTCTAGCATGACTAGTAGCGTTATCATGCCATCGTCTATAAATTTCACTATATCACTGGAAATTTTAATGAGCGCTGTAGATGTATTATGTAATTTCCTAAACCCAGACTGGGTGTCAGGCAACACTTTGTTGATTTCTAGATGCTCACGAAGTTCATCATCTACAATTTTTTCTAACAGTTTGGATTTTGAAGGTAAAGCACTTATTGGTCTGAGGTCCTTAAAATCGATGGCATTATTAACTTTTGCAAGTGGTGTTATGACTGCTTTTTTCCATAATGATGGTACTTCCCCTGTACTCAGTGATTGGTTGATGATACTGGTTAGCTGATAATTACAAAAAGAGAACACGTTTCTCAACATGTTTGTAGTGATACCATCAACACCCGCAGCATTTGACTTGACTTCTTTCAGTTTTAGTTCAACTTGGTCTGATGTAACATGATTAAATGAAGACTTGCATACTATAGAATTTTTTTGATATGAGAATGTGTTAAGAAATAAGTCGTCTGGCTGCAGGTTTGGTACAGAGTTAATAAAGTGATTATTGATGCTTTCAGCGTTTTCAAGGTCTTATGTGCCAACAACACTTTAATGTTTACTGAAAGAAATGACAAAATATAAACAAGACTGACCTTCCGTATCGAAACCAAGCTCCTCAAGGGTGGGCACACCGTACTTGTCATCATGATCTTCGTTTATGGGTGTGAAAGCACCTTCTAGTGTTCCAGCGTTGACGGGCAGCTCTGGCTGAGGTGGAGGACCAATTCTTGCGACGACGTTGAGGAACTGGTGGTACGTCAAAGGCGCTTGGCCACCGTTACGATCGATTATGCTTTGCAGATTGTACAAGGTGTGAGATACTTTTTGAACCACCTGAAAACAAAGGTGGTAAAAAGTAAAAAATGCGGTGAAAACAAAGGTGTAAAAAGTTTTAAAAAAGGACGGTAGTTCACTAACTACTAAAAGTAATTTGAAAGTACGTTGAGGTGATCCAAGATATTCACAGAATACCTTGGTATACGGATTTTCAGGTTCATGTTAAAAAAAAAGTGAAAACGTGGTATTATTTAATGGCCAATTATAACATCAGCAAGGCAGCTGCTGGATCAGTTTCAAGAATTGATCACATTTTTAATAATATAACACCCTTAAGCCCATGTTAACTTAATTATTATTAAATTACTTGCCACATGCAGCTCTGTATAGAAAATACCTATGCTTTTTACCCAACTGCCTCGGAAGGAGGAAAAGATTTTCATTCAATGAATCGTGTGGAATGAACCTTGCGATCGATATATATATATATACAGGGTGGCGCATCGAAAACGAAACAGGCGCATTTACTGGCAGCTCATTTTTTTTTAAAAAAACGCTCAGACCCGTCGATTTTGTTTTCAAGGGGGACACAAGTTTGGCAAAAAATCACGTTAGTACGTGCAGCCCCCTAAGCGGGGGTGACACCACCCCCAAATTCTTAAATGGAAAGGGGGGTCGAGTGATACCTTATTTTAAAGGTGTTTCAATTCCCTTTATAATGATATAAAATTAATGTACTTCAGTTCAGCAGTTTTGAAGATTGAAGATTGCCTGTTCTCATAATATCTTATAAGATATTTGAACAGCAGCGGTGGCCGAAGTGGTAGACACTTTGTTTCCTGATCAGTCGCCGTGCGCTGCGAGGGTTCGAATCCCGTCCCAAGAGAAATTTTTCTCTTGGCTATGCACGTTGTGATTATCCGTAGGTGGTAGACGGTCATTGACTGTCGAACGCGGAGGTACTACCCGGCGGATCTCGTAGGCGGAGCCAGAATGTGTGCATGTTGCATGCACGCGTGTTCCCTCGCCAGAGTCCGCGTGGCGTGCCCCCTTTCCCCTGTATCCCCCTATACCCCACAGTACCCAATGGGTGCTTAGGCCTTAGGCCTTCGTGGTAGTTGGAATGTAAAAAAAAATAAAAGACTTGGAAACTTCCGCTTGAAGTATTTGAATAATGGTACATGCTTATCCAAGATACCATAAAACTTTTTGTAGAACTCGTCAATTGCTTTATTAACATCCTGAAATGCTTTCAAAACTGACCAATCAATAATAGTTAACTCATTGTATAATGCAACAGAGTCGGCTTTTTTAAAATTATATACTTTAGAATGCTTATTGGTGCCAAATAATGGTTCCTAATATGAGGAAGCTTAATGATAAGAGCAGGATGATGGTCATCAGGTTGCACTAGAGGAATATGGTCACACTCAGTAGTGAACATTACTCAATACTAAATCTAAGAGCAGTACTACTTTTGCGCCATGTAACAAGTCCCATTCTTCTAAAGCATTGATTCCCAAAGTGGTCTATATCGACCCCTAGGGGTCTATGACAACCTGCAAGGGGTCTACGTCAGCGGAAAAAAATTTGGGGGTCCATGAAATGAATATGGGGGTCCACGATAGTGGATCTCAACACATACACTGATAGTACCTATTTACTTACATCATACTATCTTATAATATCAAAACATATACATTATTTATAAAGGTACCTGAAGTAAAAATATATATATATATGTGTTTATAAAATTGTGTAAATTGTAGAATGTTGGTATTCGCATTGTGGTCGCAATACATTTTGAACTTGTAAAAACCTGAGAGTCGCAGTCTCAGAGCTTCGCTACCTTGCACTGACTTGTTCAATTCGACACTCTATAAATACGAATGTGGGATAAATACGTTTATTCGTTTCCTGAATCTTGAAAAGGACAGTGCTGATAAAATATTTTAAAAAATATAAACAGATAGTATATCACACAAATTATAGTGAGTCAGTGTTATTTTGTTTGAGAATGCTGGAGAAAAGTAAGTACATTATTTTTTATAAAATTTTAGTTTTGTACTCGTAGTTAGCAAAGATAGATAAATTACGCCAATCATGACTTTAGTTATTAGTAGTTAAATATTCAATCATGCAAAATTACACGAGTACTCCTCAATAGTTTCTTTTTGAAAGTTTTAGCAATCGGTAATATAATTACAGTGCAATCTCCGTAATTCGAGCTAATTGTTGCAAGAAGATGTTCGAATTATGGAATGTTTTCGGAAAAATCAAAAAATATTTTTAATATACAGCTGCTGGATTTCCTGTCTTATTTAAATAATTTAATTTTGCCCACAGATGACTGATGCCATGTCGGAATCTAAAAAGAAATGCAGACAGTACAGTGTTGATTATTTGAAATTTGGCTTCATTCCATCATTGCCGGACAAACAATCGCCTTGTGCCTTTTATGCAACAAAGTTTTGGACAATGACACTATGAAACCATCTAAACTGCAAGATCATCTGAGAAGATGCCACCCTGATAAAACAGAGAAAGATTTGAAATACTTTCAAACACTCAAAGATAAATTTTAGAACAGACCTACACTGGACAGAATGTTCGCTTCGACGTCACAAAGAAATGATGATGGTTTGCGGGCGTCTTACAATATCTCGTTACTTATAGCAAAATCCGGAAAACCGCATACTATCGGAGAGAAGTTAATTTTGCCAGCCGTTGAAGAGGTTTTAAAAACTGTTTTACACAAACCTGCATCTGATATCATTAAAAGAATTCCCTTAAGCAACAATACTGTTGAAAGACGTATTGATGAAATGAGTTCTGATATTGAAAGCTTCTTATGTAATTATTTGCAAACGACCCATTTCTCTATACAACTGGAAGAGTCAACTTTACCTGAAATGCAGCATTATTATTGGCATATGTTCGTTTTATTATGAATCAAGAAATCTACGAAGAACTGCTCTTCGCAAGAACTTTGATAACCGACACTAAAGGTGAATCAATATTTCATGTTTTGAAGGATTACTTCATTGAAAAAGCAATTCCTTTATCAAATATAATATCAGTAGCTACAGATGGAGCACCTGCCATGGTTGGACGTTATCGTGGATTTATAAGCTATTTAAAACAAAATGTGGCAGGGGTGTTAGCAATACATTGCGTCATCCATCGACAACATTTAGTTGCTAAAAATTTGAGTGTTAGATTGCATGAATCACTTCATTTAGTCATTGATGCAGTAAACCGAATCCGAAGCAACGCGTTGAATACGCGGTTATTTGCGCAGTTGTGTGAAGAAAATGACGAACACTTTCATCAATTACTCCTTCACATTGAAGTACGCTGGCTGTCGAAAGGCTTATGTTTGACAAGATTTTTTGCACTTTTTGAGACTATTTTAGAATTTCTGGATACTAAAAATGAAATTTTAAAAGAAAATTTAATGAAGAGGAAAACAGACATCGCCTATTTAACAGATTTGTTTACAAAATTTAATATGGTTAATTTGCAATTACAAGGCGACAGTTTAAATTTGATTAAAACAAAAGTCCATCTTATCAGCGTTTCTTGCCAGAAGCAAAATATTGGACGGGGCGAATTTTCTCAGTTCCCCAATTTGTCACAGACAAGCTGTCAGGAAGACGACGTTTCAACTTACGTTCAACATTTAAATGCCCTCTATTCAGATTTTGAATCTAAGTTTGATGATATTGACTATGGTAATACCACCGTGGATAATTTATCCATATGGTGACATAGAAGAAACGAATGTCATAATACATGAGGAACTGACTGAACTAAGTACAAACGAAGAACTTAAGGTTCAGTTTAAAAACGGATATCAGCAATTCTGGCTGCAAAACAACATACCCGTATTATGGAATATAGCGAAGACATTTTTAATTTCCTTTCCATCGTCATACCTAGTGGAAATGGGGTTCAGCGCTGTTACCAATCTCCTAACGAAAAATATGAAACAGATTGGACATCATTAGCCGAGGAGATTTAAGATTAACCCTTACAAAATTGACGCCAAATGTTGATAATTTATTATTAAAGCATCAGGTTCATCCTTCTCACTAAAAATATTGACTTATTGCTTATGTTATTTTATTTATAGTTTATTTTATGTTTATTGGTGTCTGACGAATAAATGCCCGCATTGGGAATAATTGCTCGCATTGATTTTTTTAAAGAACCCCCCTTTATAGAAAATATTTTTTTTTAAGTTATTCTGAAAATTCAAGTATAGGTACACACTGAAATTCGTTAATTTTTTGCCTATTTTTAGATAACTTAAACGTATAATAAGCGGAATTTAATCAAAGTGAAATTATTGTAGAACATACGTTTATGTTATAATTAATAAACTAAATCGCTCATTGTACTATTTTAAGTAAAAAACTTTTTTTTTAATTATTTTTCACTTTTTTTTTTATTTTATTCCTCTTATTTTTTTTTCAATGCGGGCACTTATTCTCAATGCGGGCACTTATTGGTCAGACACCTGTTTATTTAATGTTACGTATATTTTACATTACAGATACAAAATTTTATTTTGAGTAGGTAGTTTTAATTTAAATTCAATTAATAAATGTATAAATTAACATGTGTTTTTACTTTAAGTTTTTAACACTAAACTTCACTACAGTTAGAAATTTATAGGAAATCAATATAAGGTAAGTAGGGGGTCTACCCAACACGGAAAAACATGGCAAGGGGTCTACGACACAAAAAAGTTTGGGCAACTCTGTTCTAAAGCTTCAAAAAATTGATCAAAGTCATAGAGGGTTAAGCTAGGGGGATATACAATGCAATTACGTAGAATGTGACTTGATAAATGTAGCACTTACAACACAAAAAATCAATATAGGGGAAACTATCATTGAAAAACGAGGTATCAACAGGTATGACATTGGTTGAATCTCTAACTGCAATCAAAACTCCACCACCTGTGGACATATTTAATACATCTAGTCTACGGTCCTGTCTAAATACCTGGTAAGTGTCCGAAAAAAGTTCTTCGCTCCGCGTTCCTTCTTTGAGCCACGTTTCAGTGATCACAATAAAGTCAAACTCACCCACTGATTCAGATGTATAAAAGCAATCAAATTTTGAATTCAAGCCCCTCACATTTTGATAGTAGAAAGATATCTCCTTCTTGTCAGAAGAACTGCTGGACTCATTCAGTTTAAAGCCACAATTTTTGGTACATCGTTAATATATTCATTTCTCCTGCATTTCTCCAATCTGTCAGTTCTTGCTTGACAGCCTTATATAGCTCAAATTGTTTAGAGGTGCGATCATTGGAGACAACGACATTCCTAAAGTTAGGACTATTTTTCAAATTACTTTAAGCCCAAAAACACGCCTACAAAGGCACCTACGAACAAAAGACCGAGAATCAATCAACCGTGAAACCAATTGGCCCCAACCAAACTCAAGTTCTATATTACCCTCTGATCTCTCAATTACCTAACTTAATTTTTTAGACGATCGCAATATTTCCCCGCATCTCCCCTGCGAAGTAACAACAATGCCAGGTCGTAACAACGCCACATGCGGGAAAAGGTGACGGGGTTTATCGACTAAATTTAAATATCCATCATTATCACGTTGAAGTTACATCGTGAGGTGACGATTCACCTGGTTACAAGATTCTCATCGAAGCGGAAGATATACAGACTAAAATAATACATTCAGAACCTGCAATGGACCTGATATGCACGCGGAAGGTGTCAAATACCAAGCCCTTATGCGAGAAATCTTATACAGGGTTATTTGACCTTTCTGGTTATTTAAAAAAATGCGAAATCGGGCATTTCTCACATTTTTACTCTTGCCTTGATGACGCGTACAATTTTGGTGTACCTAGAATTTCAAATGGAGTTAAACCGGTGAGTAGACTACTATCAGTCCACTTCACTCCAGTCTACCTGACGCCATTTTCCAAATATTTACAGGATTGGACTGTCATATTTTAAAGAAAAGAATGCTGCAAAGATTCACTCACCGAGATTCCTAGCTCTTTACACATAGCTATGATGTTGTGATCTCGGACTCTTCCGTAGGGTTCGGGGTCCTCTTCAAAAGTCAATGACGTGGTGCCCCATTCCTTGAAAAGCTTGGGCAGTGTATCTGCTGGTTGGCCCCGAATCACAAACAGGCGGCTGTTCATTTTCCGCAAACTGTGGTCCAGATCTTCCAAGCATTGCAGGAGGAATCTGTGAACCGTGTTGAAAAGAAGAAAATGTTTATTGGGGTGACAAATGGATCAAGTTAGGTATTATTAGATGATTCTTACAAAAATATGTAATAAAGACAACCCGATTGATTGATTGTTTCTGTTTCTCTTATCGAGAGGTTTCTGAGCGGTAACCTGGTTCAAGAGTGTTTGAAATTAGTTTTTTTACGCGATTACAAAAAATCTGTTCTCCGCTTCAGACAAAACTTTCTCGGGTTTTCGGACTAATTATGAACAAAAAAGATTCCGAGCAACTAAAGTTACTTTTAAAGTGACTTAATGTCTAATGAAACCTAAAAATAATAATAACGATGAATGACTTTAATGAATACAACAAATAATCTTTTTAAAAAAGTACAGAATACATTGCCTAATATTGGCTTAAAGCTACTATACTGAACCAAAATAAGACAAAAAAACAATAATAGTAATGTCTTCAAACAACAATACAGAATAATCATAATAATAATCCCGTGTTAACATTCAACAAGATATTAATTAATACTGGTCACTACAGAATTTGATTACTGGTTACTAAAATTTGCTCGACATATGTTTGCTAATTATATACCTATATTATAAACTTCAATCTCTATTCTAAAAAAAGTTTGTTCTGATTTGTATTTAGCAAATATTCGTTATATTGTATTTTGAAACTTAAAAGAGAAAGATTAAGAAACTGGTTGGGAATTGAATTAAATAGTTTGACAGCATTGTATGAGAATGATCGTTGAAACAATGCACTACTATGAAGCGGCTTAGTTAATTTTTGTTTAATATCTTACATGTATATCATGAACAGAATGTCGAAAAATTAGGCGTTCACTTATAGACTCAGGTGAACCTGGAGAGCTTATAATTTTTAATAAAAAACTAGAAAAATGGAGAGTGCGACGCTAATTCATTTTAAGCCATTTAATTTCTTTATATGATCAAACCTTCGCAGACCATAGATATACCTGAGGCACGCATTTTGCACCTTCTGAATACGACCTCTACTTGCCTGATATAAGCAAAACCCATAGATAAAATCGCAATAATTGAAATTGGAAAGAATTATTAGGTATTCACACATTTTTTTTAGTGATCTTTTTAGTATGTGTCTGAACTTTTAGAGAATGAAATGATTTTCGCATAAGATTTTTTAGGTGATCTTTAAATCTAAGCTGAGAATCTAAAACTATACCGAGATTTTTTGTACTTTCAACAAAATTCAGTTTTGAATTATTAGTCATTAAGTTGAGATTAGCTTTCAAAAACTCAGTCTTAGATTTGTTACCAAAAATCATTACATGCGATTTTTCCGGATTAAGTTTTAAGTTGTGACCTAATGAGATATTGTTAAAGGTATTAGTCCTTATTTATACAATTTTCATAATATTTGTAATCCTCAACATAAAAAAAAAACAATAAACCTGGCTGTCATCCGCGAAAGCCTGAACTTTAAAAAAACTTTAAAGAGGTAACGATATCAGATAGGCCCAATATTGATCCCTGAGGAACTGCCGATAGGATCTCCGCTTTGTCTGAAAATGTGTCATTTGATAGAATCTATTGATACCCTCCTGTCAAATATGATTTTAAAAGCAAACATGCTTCCTTATTAAAGCCATAGTACTGAAGTTTAGCTACCAACAATTCATGATTAATGCTTTTGAAAAGTCTAGAAGTACCAAAACTGAACTCATCTTTTTATCATTTGCTCCTAATATATCATCGAGTACGTTTGTTAGAGAAACTGATGTAACAAAATTTTGCAACAATTGACAAAATCGGAAGTCTTCAGATGGGTTGATTTTTGGATCGGTCCTCTGAGCATTTTTTTAATATTTAAACATAGGAAAACTTCCAGTTTGAGGAAAATATTGGTGGTTTAAAGGCATTAAGACCTGGTGCAACTCCAGCACTAAGTGTCTTCAGAAGGAAGTTATTTTGAGAGTGGCAACATAAAATTATAATCATTTTTGAATAAAAAAAATAACTCCCATTATTTAATTTACAGACCTCGTATATTTTGATTCAGAAAAAAGGGACTCCTGCATTTATTTCTGAAAATATATAGGGTGTTCTATAGAAAAAAATACAACATTATTCGATAGCACTGTACCGTGTACAAAAAAAATCACATGAAAGATGCCAGGTTCATACACCCTGTATACATATATCCTCACCTCCACTTATTGATGCCAACATTGGAAGATCCGGCAAACCACGGATCCAACACAAAGATGCATCTGAAGGTCTTGGCGTCTTTGAGTCCTTCACGCAACGACGGGTTATCGTGTAGCCGCAATCCCTTTCTAAACCAGTGTACAGTATGTTTCTCCTTCGTTGCACCAGAACGGCTCGCACCACCTGTTGAATGGTTGACCCCCACGCTTTCGCCTCCTTGGCCGTCACCGATGGACTGCTTCCCCTCTTCCAGCCTCTTCCCGTTCATCTACACCTCCTCATTCCTGGAACAAAAACTCTACTTTCTCACGGGACAAAAAGACGACAGCGTTGCTAGACAACGTTGCAACACAAACAGGTACAAAAATCGACCAGAATTGCAATTTTTCCCAAGAAAATACCCAAGTTACACTTCATTGAGGGAGGGGTTACATTTAGTTTGAATAGCGGAAGGGGGACATTCTGTCCGTGAAACGTGTGAAATATGGAGGAATGGAGAAAAACACTCACATTTGGCAGCCTCTCAGTCCGCCATTTTGGAAGATTGTGATTTGTATATTCTAGGCTTATAAAGTATACGAAGCTCCAAAATAAGAAATCAGTATTTTAATTAAAAAAAAGTTTTCAAGAAGGCACCCAGCCGGCTCTATGAAAAATTTTACTTTTACGCTAAAATGTAGTATCGATTCATCAATTTCAGCTTGATAATTTGAACTGTTCAAAGAATAAGTATCAGTGGAGTATTTTTAAAGTCGCTTTATAAACTTTTGTCACCTGGAGACTCATCCCTTAGTATGTAGTTTGTTTATTTAATAGCTTCAAGATAAACAATACAATATATATATATATATATATATATATATAACGTTATTATCTAAAACTAACACTATTGTTTACATAAATTCTCAATTGTCTTTTGAATTTGACAAAATTTGTAGATTTGATTTCAGCTGGTAAATTATAAATCCTTTATGAAATAAACAATTTTGCGCAAAAGCAGACCCCACAGCAGGAACATCAAAATTATACCTATTCCTTGTATTATAACTAAGAATATCACAGACAAATTGCAAACCTTCCAATATGTGTTCGGGATACATTCCATTCTGTATTTTGTAGATCACTATCATTGTATTGTAAAATATATTTTGTTTCATACTTAATAAATTAGGTACTTCTAACGTGTCTTTTATTCTTGTGTATCTATTACATCTTAATATACATCTAAGAGCTTGATTTTGTTTTCTCTGTAGTGAATCTATATCATCTATCTGAAACATATATAATATGGAGGAACAGTAGTTAAGAGTGAGGCATGACTATTGTTTTATATACAGGGTGTTTCAGTTTATTGTTACATAACTTTAAGATTCGATAGAACTTTTAAAATTAATGCATAAAGTCTATATAAACATGGGTCGAAAAATGCGTGGCTTCCGAAATACAGGGTGTTTAAATTTACTTTTTAAAATAGTTTTTTTAAATATTTCGAACAATATTTGATGTATAACAGTAAAAATTGGTATACAAGGGTTTTTTGTTACGACAAAACGAACCATAGTTTTAGTGTAGCCGCTAGAGGGCGCTATCTACTGTACCTGTAGTGTATTAAAATGACCGAAAATTTTTTCTTAGTGCAATTTTTTGCTTTTTGAATAAAAAAAATGATTCTTCGCACTTTTCTGTATAAAAAAGCTCTCCTGTGAGTTTTCGTTATAGTTAGCCGTTTTTGAGATATTTCGATTTTTAAGGTTCGATGCATTTTTAATTATTTGTGGGAAAATAATATTTTTTTTACATTTTCGATTTGGGCATTAAAAGTAATTAAGATGATCGTTTAGATTGTGTTTTTAAACACAGCAATAATTCCTAACTCCAAATAAACACAAAAAAACAGAATATTAATTTGTTTAATTTTCCAATATTATTTTTAACAAATTCAATTAATTATTTACAACTAAAATGCTATTGTATAGTTAAGACAAACATACAAAATCTAAAGTAGTTGCTTGAAATGTAAACCCAATTGTTCAATACACAATTCACATCTACGAATGATCGAACGTGGTATAGCATTATTCAAATAAGGCATCACATGCATTCCTGATTCTGTCTATTAGCATATCTCTTGTGGTTACGGGAGTCTGGTACACTTTTTCTTTTAGAAATCCCCACACAAAGAAATCTAATGTATTTAGGTCAGGGGATCGTGGAGGCCAGGCGACTGGTCCTCCACGGCCGATCGATCTTTCTGGATAATTTTCGTCCAGCCACTTTCTAACAATTCTCGAATAATGAGCTGGACAACCATCAAGCTGGAACGAGGCCAATCTTCTTAAATCTAACATAACATCATCCCACATATCGTAGCATTTAACCTTGCAGGCAAAAGGTAGGGTCCAAATAGTCGATTACGGTAGATACCAATCCACACGTTCACACTAAATTCATGCTAAAAATTTCTTTCCCGAAGAGGATGCGGATTTTCATGCGACCAAATATGTTGATTATGAAAATTTACCACTCCACGTCTAGTGAAGCATGACTCATCGGTCCATAAAACGTTACTTAAAAACTCCCTATTATTATCAGTTCTATCAAGAATCCACTGACAAAATGTGATTCTTCGTTCACCGTCCCCTGGCTGTAGTCCTTGCACAGGTTGCAAATGGTAAGGACGTCTATGGTCAATTCTAAGAACACGGTGAACATGGCTTGCTGAAATTCCCAAGGCACCCGAAACTCTCCTAACACTTGTGGTCGGATCTCTATCAAACTCACGCAGAATCATACGGGTAAATCTGCGCTGACGAACATTTATGTTTTGATCCCTTTGGAGATTTCCAAAACCATTTTCAATTATTTGGCGATGCACCCTCACAAATACTAAGCTAGTTGGATGTCGTCTGTTTGGAAATCTTCGTGCGTATTCTCTGGCTGCTTCTGCTGCGTTTCCATTTACAAAGCCATACACAAAATGAATATCCGCTAACTCTTGATTGGAGAATAAAAATGGCATTTTTATAAAACTTACAAAAAAAACAGGTAAAAGAAACTAAATTTCGTGCATTCACAATTGCAAAAAAACGTTTCAGGTTTCAACAAACAACAAAACTAGCTGTCAACTAATTGACGTTTAACCTTATTCTGCTTTCAATTTCAAAAATATTTGCAGGCACAGCATACTTCTAAAAATTATCGACATACTGACTTTTTAACGTTATTTTATCATGAATAATTAAAAATGCATCAAACCCTAAAAATCGAAATATCTCAAAAACGGCTAACTATAACGAAAATTCACAAGACAGCTTTTTTATGTTGAAAAGTGCGAAGAATCAGTTTTTTTTAGTCAAAAAGCAAAAAATTTCACTAAGAAAAATTTTTCGGTCATTTTAATACACTATAGGTACAGTAGAGAGCGCCCTCTAGCGGCTACAGTAAAATTATTCCCATGGTTCTTTTTGTTGTACCAAAAAACCCCTTTTATACCAAGTTTCACTGTTATACATCAAATATTTTTCGAAATGTTTAAAAAAAACTATTTTAGAAAGTAAATTTAAACACCCTGTATTTCGGAAGCCACGCCTTTTTGGACCCATGTTTATATAAACTTTATGCATTAATTTTAAAAGTTCTATCGAATCTTAAACTTATGCAACAATAAACTGAAACGCCCTGTATAAGTAGTGACGTCCATGAACTGAGGTACTTTGTTACGAGGGATGTCTTGAGTTTTGCATATGGAAATAAAACAACACGGTAGGTAGTTTATATATATAATCTGTATGGCTATTAAATGTTAAATTTGAGTCTATCATAACTCCTAAATATTTATACTTGTTAATCTGTTTAATCTTATTATTTTCAATTATTCGTCGTGCAGATAAGTATCCTGAACATTAAATGTAGATGTCAGTATTATACATACATCCATGTCTTGTCAACATTAATACTAATACTATTGCTCCCTAACCAGGCATATACTGTCTTTAAGTCTTCAATAATCATTTTAACCATATTGTCTATGTTGTCACATTCCATGAACAAAATTGTATCGGCTGCAAACAACTGAATTTTTCAATATTTTACAGTTTTTACAATATCTTTTTTATACCGCACGAATAGATCAGGACCCAACACTGTTCCCTGAGGCACACCATGTCTATTTTCTCTTAGATGAGGAGCTTTTGTACTTTGTTCGCTGAGTTCTTTGTTGTAAGTATCTGATTAACATCCGGCTTAATTATCAGAATTGGATTTGCAATTTACGTTATCTTGCAAAGTCTGCTGTTTCAGGAGAAATATTTACAATGACCCGCAACTTTACAGTGCAATACTAAGACTGATTTACTGTAGGTAACGATAATTTTAGTGTTCATTGACATTTGTGTTTATTAATAAATTTGCGAAATACAATACCTACACGATTTTTTCAATATATATTTTCCATCATAGAATGGTTTTTGTAATTATTATCGTTGACTAGCTATCTATAGAAAATTAAAATCCTGGCAAATAGAAGAATGGTTATTTCAGTAATGAGTCTAGATAAGCGGGTCCTAAATGTTAGATCAAAGTGGAACTATACAGCACAAGACCGCCATGATCCAAAGATCGCTTATATATATTGCGATCAAGAATTCAAGCATCTGAACATGAACAAGCTTAAATTCAAATTGAAACGGTATTTGTTTGATAGGGTCAATGATAGTCCTTTTTAAATGCAATTTTTTTGTTATTCCTGTATTATTGTTTATAGATAGTTATACTTAGATATCAAAAGTGGCTGGCCTCTTTTAAACATAAAATTCGCTGCTCTTTTCGTTTTACGTTATTTGTATGGTAGTAAAAAGTTAAAAGCATAATCACTACATGTATGTTTCTCTGCGAATGCCTGTGTTGCTCTACTGTTCTTCAACCCTTTTTGAAAAACTTACGTTATATTTTTTTTTGTAAAACTCATTGATTGTTTTGGTTGAATTCTAGTTTTAATTGTATACTTAATTATACGCTGCCTTCCAGTGGTTAAGTGGAATAGCTATTAGCTAGACTTCGCTGCTGGTATTGTATTGTATTTATGATAACATAATATCTTTATGTATGAAAATCAATTAAGATGGTTTTTATTAGAGCTTAAGAGTAAGCAGCGACAGCCAGGCTGCGGCACGCGTAGTACACTGTGGTATGGAAAAACTTCAGTAGCCGAGGAGCAAGAACAATTATTGATAAAATATGTCAACTCCAGATACATTGTCAGAGCTCATAATCCATAATCGCCCCA